TGTCTCACGAATAATTTATAATATTTAATTCTATATATATTTATTTATAATTGTGAAACATTATTGTAATGGCTAAAATGCTATTAGTATTAAAATTAGGTTTAAAAGAAAATTAATAATAGAGAATGATAAGAAGAAATCAAAATAGTGGAAAATTTTTTAATGTTGCAGATTTTATACATATCACTTAATTATATATTACTTTATACAATTTATACAATAAAATTTTATATATTATTATAGCATGATTTTTCCATCTTAAATATCTCACTTGTTTTTGAAAATATTAAAAAATATAATTATATAAAAATTGAATGATTTAAAAATGATTATTAATTAATTATATTTACGTATGGAAGAATAAAAATTGAAGTGCTTTAATTTTTTTTAGATAAAATTAATTAGATATTTAATGCTAGATATTTTTAATACTTTTTAATCCATGAATAGATATATCTTGTTATTTCTATAAAAAAATAAACATATAATTAATAATAAAATTATTAATTTATTAAATTAATATATGTTTATTTAAAATTATTTAATTAATTATATGTTTATTTAAAATTATTATTCTGCAAATCTAAATATAATAATTGATCAAAAAATGACTATCTCTCTTGTGAAATTATTATTTTTAAAATTCAATAAATAAATCGATTGAAAAACTTTTTTTCATATAAATTTCATAAAAATTTAGTAAAATTCTTAATGAATATTAATACAACAATATTCAATCACATCGAATGTTATTATTTAGCGCATGTTGTTAATTAAAAAGCTGTGATACATTCATTGGTAGTTTCCTTGGTGAGTGAAGGGGTATACGTGTACCCCTGAGTCGCTTTACAACCCCGTGATATGTTGCTTCAGTGCAAGGGAGGCGAAATAGAAGCAAAATTTAGGGGCTCTTACGTTATTCAGAGTCTTGCAAATAGAGTAATACGCACGGATATAATTTAGAGATTCGGTAAGAAAGGAAATTTACTTGATGCATTGTGCAGCCGTTAAGCGTATCATTAACATTAAATTCTGGTTGGTTCCGGTGCGTGTTGGAAAATATATCTGGTGGAGGACGAGTTTTGGCATGCTCTGTGAAATATACCGCTCTTGGAGATAAGGTGCGGCCCCCCGGTGCAATTGCACGCTTGGCTTCCATCTTCTGAATAGCGGCCGACTTATATAATTTTATGCAACCATATTTTTGGAGACCATAACAGATTATATTGGAGTCTATTTAAGTTCATTCATTTTAGAATGCTGTAATTTAAACGAGATGTAAGAGAGACTGGGCAAATGAATATGTTTTTTATTTTTTAAATTTTTATATTTGAATTTTAATTACATACATACTTAGGAAAAAATATTAAAAAATAGATAAGAGTCAAATTAAATCAAAGTAATCAATTAATGTTTCTATTGGACTATCTTAATCTTTAATATTAGTATTAAATTCTATGAATTTTTTTATTAATCTTTCTAATATTTAAACAATTTTTTATGTATGTTTTATAGCTCTTAGTAGTTTTGCTTATAAGTGATTAAGATATAAATAAATATGTATATATAATTTTCGTTCCTTCGTTGATATTAAATACTGTAAATGCATATGTATATAATTTATTTATGAGAATAAATAAATAAAAGTACGATAAATTAAAACATAGTATTCTTTATAATTCTAATCGATAATATAATATCTAATATATTATATGAGAACAATAAATAGTTCATCATAATTCACTCTTTAAGCATATAATAATTAGTTTAGAATTTTTGTTGTTGTTCAAAAATATTTGATTTGATATTTAAAATTTTTTAAACATTTTATATAAAAAGAATTTTTATTAATAAAATAATAAAATCTACATATTTTAAAATATGAAAAATGTAATATGATAATATAATAACATAATATAATAATTATAATAATCTTAAAATAATTATAATATAATATTACACTAATTATCTATTTATACTATAAAAAAATTTTGTTTTAATAATCTTAATGTAAATTTACTTTGATCCATTAAAGAATAATAATAATAATAAATGCAACATTATTGAAAAATATATATATTTAATAAATATTATATTGCAATGTTATAATGTAAAAAAAGTACATATTAATATTACATTATATAAATTTATTAACAAAAATTTTTAATTTAGAAAAATATAATTTATTTATATAGTATATACTAAAAATATTTTTATTTTATCAAACTTCATAATTTTCAAATTTTCATTAAAATTTTTAATAAATAAATATCGATCAAATTTTATAAATTTTACAATTTTGTTATGAAAAAATTATTATGAAAAGATATTAATTATTTAATTTATAATTATGAAATTAAAAATACAAATTTACAAATTAATATTAATTATTAATAAATTTATATTTAAAGTATATATTTAAAGTATATTTATAATAAAAAATTATCCTATGACTTATGGAAATGTATCATATTAAATGTATCATAATGAAATATGTATCATATTTTATTATAATTAAAATTAATCTAAACTATAAATTATTATTTATCATTTTAATTTGCATGCAATTTTTAATTTATTTTTAATTTTAATGCATTTTAATTTTGTTTATATATAAATTTGATTGCGAAAACTGTATTGAGAATAAGAAATTTAAAATAAATTTTCAAGTCAAATTTTCAAGTTGTGTTCAAAATCACAAGAGAAAAATTTTAGATTAAATAATAATTTGAAGAATTTGAAATTGTTTAATATAAATAAAGTTTATTAATAGTTAGAAGACAATAACAGTTTTATTATTTATATATTTTTAAAAAAATATAGTGTTAAATTATTATATAGTGGTAATTTATAGTGGTAATGTTAAAAAAATGAAAGAAACAAAAATGCGACATAAAAAGAAAATAGATATTTTAAAAACAATCGATATTCAAATATTGTCTTGAAGAGTTACGTAAATTTTCCGATTTCGATTAATTTTAAAAATAATCAATTTATTTAAAAATAGAAAAAATAATAAATTTTTTGAAATAAATTGTTCATTAAGTTTTTTTCTTATAGTTATTCTTAATTAATAATATAATTTAAATAAAAATATTAATTTTAGTGATTGTTTAAATCAGATTATTATATGAGCTATTTAGAAATAAATTTGTTATATTGAAACTAATTATTTGGTTTTTGAAAAATTAAATATTAATTTTTCATTCTAATGTTAAAATTAAACATTTTTTTGAAATCAGATCTGTGTATTTGCATTTAATAGTTATTTATTTTGCATTTAATAATAATTATTTTATGAAAATCTTTTTTGAACATTATTATAATTTTATTATTCGAATCTATAACTGTTTATAATTTCTTGACAAATTTATCAAAATTAAATATAACTATTTTTCAATTGTATTTAAAATATATATTTAAAATAATACAAGGATATTTTAAATTTTCCAAAAAAATATTTACATTTAAAATGAGTAAATGCTTTTAAAATGCTTAATAAAAAGTAAGAATCGTTCGAATTATTTTGTAAAATTTCATTATATAAATAATATATAAAGAGAAAAAAAACATATAAAAAGATTCAGTTGTATTTTTACAACAGAAATACAATTATCAAACTTATTATAATTAATTTTAAAACCTGATATATATATTACATTATAAATTTTATTATAGATATGTAAATTTAATTCATGTAAATATATTAATATTAATTAATTAATAAAAATAATTAATATATTTATATTAGTATATACTTTACATTATATTATTAGTATATACTTACATTATATATACATTATATTACACATTAAATATATTACAATACTATATAATATAAATAATTAAATATACATAATATATTCTTCTTACATTATTATAATTTCATTACTAATAAATTCTTATTTTTTACTTATTTTCATTTATTCATTGAAATTTGAAATAATGAAATTTATTATTTATATTATATTATAAATATATTATAATGAATTATATTATAAATTCATTCTTTTTTTAGAAACTTAAATTTTTCTCATAATATAATTATCTTTTAATCATAATTTATGATCATGTTCCATGATTATAACTTTTCTTGAATTTTTACAATTTTTAATCAACACGTAATATTTCAATTATTTTTATCGCAATTTTATTTTTAAAAGTTTGCATAGTTTTCATTATATACACAGAGATATTTGAGAATTTTACTATGAGTAAACTAATTAATAAAAAATATCAGAATGATTAGATAGGAAAATATTTATAAATGAACGAGTTAATATAATCCAAAGAAATTTTCGTTTAAGATCTTTCATTAAAGTGTGCATAAAAACTAGAAAAATTCTCAGGGTTTAATTAATCGAATACGAAAATCGAAATAATTTTATTGATTTAACATCATCTATAATTAAAATCCATCATAATGTTTTCGGTTATGAGGATTTTATTCCAAAACAACGTCATGTTGTTATCATTACAACGTATTTTCATTAGCTATAATACAAAATTTGCTCATGTATTATTAATATTAATGCATTCACATTGAATGAAATTCAATGTTTTCATTAAAATTTTCATAATATGTTAAAATGTTTGTAAAGATATTAAAAATCTTGTTTTTGGCTTTTAATATATTATATTTCAATATATACAGAGTATTAATATATTCATGAAATACCTTTAGAAGATTAATTCTAAAGGTTATAATAAATAACATAAAAAGGTTGCTTGAAACTTATTTATTAAATTATAAGCACTTTAAATTTACATTGAATAAAACAAGACAAAACGATCTCTTCTATTTGCTTTATCTAACTTCAATTGCAAATATAATTTAATAAATAAATTGATATTTTTGTACACTATTGTACAAATTGATATTTTTGTCTTTGTTTTGATCTCTAAAATTAACTTTCTAAAGATCTTATAAATATATTAGCATTCTATATAATGATAGTATAATAACCATAATGCCAATAATTGATAAAATTTTTTTTCAGACAGGAATGTTATCAATCGTCGTGCCACCAGACTTTATTTCTGAGGATACTTCGAGTGATGTCATGGTTCGAGAAGGAGGACAGGTAAATTAATAATAAATCATTAATTAAATTTATTATAAGATTTCTGTTTTAATTTTTGCACGGGAATAAAATGGATAAATAATATATAAATTTCCATAAAATTTTGTATAATTGAAACGAACATTTTTCATTTTTGAATGAATGAAATAAAGAAAAATTTTTAATTCCTATTATTTTCTTCTTGTAAGAAAAAAATGACACTTTTTATTTAAGTTATTGCTTCTATTTAAAATGTTGATGATTCTTAAATGAAAGAGATATTAAGATAAAAAAAAATTTTATCTTATAAATATAATTATACAATATCAGATAAAAATTAATTTTCATGAAAAAAAATTTTTTACGAATTTATTTTTTAAAAATTTATCGTTCTTTGGAAATAATTATTATTCTTTTTTTGTATATTTGATGTTATTCATACAATAATAATAATTTATAATTAAATACAAAAAAAGTGATTTAGATCAAAAAAGTAGCATAAATTAAATGAGATAAAATTGTTATGTTAGATCAATTTATAATTACTTAATATTTTATTGATATGTATTATATCTTTCTTCATTAGTAACGATGCTGCTAAGTTTAAATGTATCTAAATTCAAATCAAATTCAATGCAAAAGATTCATTTCATTCATAAGAATATTATATATATAAATAGCATATTAAAGAAATAATGATTCAATATGATATTTGTGAAATATTTGTAAACTGATTTCAAAAGAATGAATGTTTATCTATTTCGAATATCTTAGATTAGAATATTAGAATCAATTAAATTTTTTATAAAATATGAATAATAATCAAATTAAATACAGAATTATAATAAACAGAATTCTTATAATTTTATTTTAATTTTTCCATTTATAATTGTTTAAAAATTTTTTATAAAATATGAATAATAATCAAATTAAATACAGAATTATAATAAATAGAATTCCTATAATTTTATTTTAATTTTTCCATTTATAATTGTTTAAAAATAATTTAATTTATATTATAGTTTGAAAAATATATAAAGAAAGATAATGTTATTTACTAAATCAATTATTTATCGATTATGAAAATTATATTATGCAAAAATGTTAAAGAAAATTAATTTTAATTAAATTGATAATTTTTAAGAAAATTTTTAATAACCTAAAATTTCGAATCTACTCAATTCTTAATTTTTGAAAGCATTCTTTTCATTTCTAAATTCATAAAGATATTTAAAAACTAAATACTAATATCTTTTTCAAAATAATTAAAAATACCTTGAATCTGACTTATTTCCGATCCATATTTGAATTTACTTGCTCTTATCTATATATTACTATAATTAAAATTCATAAAACTGCTCTACATAATTGAATTTAATCATCCTAAATATCTTTACTTGATATATTTTCAAATCAATATCTACACAAACTGCCGTATTACAAAAGAAGAAAAATCTATGAATATTGTTGAAAAATCTCAATAACCTGTTGCTTGTATACATATCAAAATAGAACATTTCGTAAAAATGTATTTGATATAACGTGTAAATATTTCCGTTTTCCCAAATTTTTTTCAAAAGAAATGTAAGAAATATTACTTTTCTACGAAAATTCATCGATGAAATACCTTTAAAAAGCTCGTTACGCGAAAATCACGCTATAAAATTCTATATCTAGTCATAGCAGTAAATTAATTGTGCCTATATCGCGTTAGCATTCAATCTCAGTGAAATTCGGTAATTAAAACTATAGATCGCTCACTAAATTTCGCTTGAGCACGATTAAAAAGCCGCGATGAAATGACGACGTAACTCACGGTAATATCCTTTAGGGATATTAACGAAAATTCATGTAACAAGGGCGAAGGGGAATTTGTATTAACCCTTGTTTGTAATATGATAAAATCAGTCGTCTAATTAGAGGGGAGAACAGATCAACAAGATTTACGAACTTTATGCATATTGTAATTTGTTAGGGCTGAGAACTATAATAATTAAGAATGTCGTATTTATACAGTGTGTCGATTTTACCTATAAATGAAATATTTTTTAAAAGAAGAATATTATGAAAAAAATATTTGTAACAAAAGTTATTAGATTATATATATTTATATAGTATTAATAGTTTCTTTATAAATAAGATCATATAAAGATGACATACTTTTTTTTAATAATGGAATTATATAATTTTTAATATATTAATAAATATATATATTATAAAAAAATATTAAATTATTTGTGTCGAAAAATTTTTACTTTAAGAAATATTTTGACTTATAATAATTTTCATAAAATATGTTGTATGAAAAGTAAGAAATATGCAAAATAATATTCTACTTTTCATATTCTTTTTGTCTTTTATATAATAAATTTTACAAATTGCAGGTTAAAATATTTCTTAAAAATTTTTCATATATAAAATAAAATTATAAAATAAAATAAAATAAATTTTTTAATAATTTAATAATACTTAATAAAATTTAAAATTAAAATTAAAATTATATGATTTTATTTAAAAAATTCAAATTGATTTTCACATGATCTTTATGTGTCAATTTATTAAAAAACTATCAATATTACATGATATATCTGCTTATATTAAACACTTTTTGTTTGAAAAGATATTTCATTATATTTAAAGAAAATAGACACCAATATTATTAAAATATTTAAAAAGAAATTATTATTTGTTATTAAATAATATTATTTTATAAAATTTTTTAATACTTTAATATTTTTTTTTCAATATTGATCAAATAAAATTAAAACATAATTCTATTTTTAATATTAGTATTAAAAGAAAATAATGCATGCATAAGATATTTTTTCCAATTTTTATCTATTATTCTTATAAATTTTTATAAAATTATATTATTTTTATAAATTTTCAAGAAAAATAATTTTCTTAATAAGTTTATTTAACATCATTATTTATTTAAGACAAATTATATTTTAAAATTTAAAAAAGTATGTTAATGTAAAATTAAAATTTCAAAAAGTAATTTCATCGATAAAATTGCTAAAAAAAATGTAAGATATATCACAATTGCCAATCTAGTACCTATTTCGTTACTACCATCCTGAAACGTGAGGTTTATCAAAAATGAAAATTTCAATTCCGTCGTTTCTAGCTAACTCGACTATTGAAATGAATAGAAGATAAACATCCGGTTGATAAATTACTACTAATTCATGTCCTAGCATTAGAGTTAAGCAGTAATCAACTATATTTTAATTTTTAATTGATTTCCTAAAAATAATCACGGTAATCATTATAATTATTAATTGAATAATCATTACAAGAAATAATTTATCCTAACCTTACCTAACTTTCTACAATATTCGTTTTAAAAAAATGATGTTACGTGTTTGCGTCACGATACATTTCTACTTTATCTGAATTTCAATGCGCGACTCCGGCTAGAAACTTTGAAACTGTATGTTTCCTGTATCATCCCACACATTTAAGATATCGGTCGATGGCCTACCTGTGTCCTTAATTTAAAATTGATAAATACATTTTCCAAGAAACGATCTGGAAATCTGGAACGCAATTTGCATTCTTTTCTCACGAATTCGTATTTCTTTTTAAATTCATAAAGTCGTGACTTGTATCATCTTATCGATACAAATTTGGTTTAAAAAGAATATTTTATACTTAACTAATACCAACTTTAAATTAAATAATTTCTATGAATTTGAATATGTGAAAATTTGCTATTGATTTTACTGTTTAAAAGATTACTAATATAAATGTCAGTGCACAATATATACTATATTTAAAAGTATATAAAGTATAAAAAGTATATATAAAAAGTTTTTGATCAAACGAAGAATATCTTTAAAATAACAAAATTAATTAAACAATTATTAATTAAATAAAAACAATATAATATAATAATATAATAATTGTTATATATAATATAATAATAATAATTAAAATTTTATTTATAAATTAAAAACATAATTAATTAAAAATAAATGTTTCTGAAATATATTTTTATAGTATAAATATCAAATTCATAACAAATCAGCTTAATAATGTAAATATAAAAAAGAAAAGAAAATAATTTCTTTCTTGTCAAAAAAAAAAATAAATAAATAATATAAATATTAAAATTTTAATACAATTAATAACTTCAATTATTGTATATAAAATTGCATATAAAAATAGTTATATATACATACAATGTTTAAACAATGTATAAACAACATACAAAATATAGTAGTATTCCAAAAATAATCAATCATGTTGAATTTATTATTATTAAATTTTTAATTTTAATTATCTAATGTACATAGATAATTTTTTATTATACGATCTTTCTTTTTTGAATTGAAATCAATAAAGACAAATGTTTAATTGCACAATTCTTTAATGAAAATAAAAAATAATAATTTTGCACGAAATAAAAAGATCATCAATTTTTTTTATATTTTACTGATATTAATGATGTTATACTTATGATAATAAAAATATGTATGAAATTAATGTAATTCCGTGTTTATGAAATTAATATAATTCATTATAATTACTAATTAATGCGAAATTAAATTTACACTATGAATTAAAATGCATGAATCGTAGTTTAAGTTATATGATGATTGAAAAGTCAATATAAATTATGTTTAGAATAGATTTAAGAATAGATTTTGTCTTATCTTCATTACATGGATATTTCATTTATGTGAATTTCATTTATATGAACAAAATCTTACATAATATCAAATTATCCAAATTCTAGCTGAGCTCCTATTATCGTCAACCATTATTCCAATTATATAAACGTCTTTATAATATAATTAGATATGTATATTAAATTTATGATACAAAATAAATTTATGATACAATATGATAAAAAATTAAATCAATAACTATCAAGTTATTATGTTTGTAAAATTGTTTTCAAATTTATATTTAATATATTATTATATTAATTTTAGAGAAAATGTTTCGTAAAGTTCTTATATAAATGTAAACTCCTATTAATAAGATAAAAAATTATCTAATGAAGAAATTAG